AGCACTCAGAGCAAAAGCTTCTCATCTCCACAGGGATAAGATACCTGTTAAGATTTAGGATGCTCTACAAAAAAGCAATTACTGCTTGTTAGAGATACCACATAAATGCAGGTAACAAGGAGTGAATTATCACTACATACCAAAGTGATAGAAAAATAAACTTAAGTCTTGTCTCCCTGTACTTTTATTAATGCTTGAAGCAGCAGCAGGCTGTAGCACAGTACAGATTGAAACTCAAATCTGATTCTTTTCTTCCTTTCTCCAAACTGAAAAGCAGTAAGAACACTCAAATGGTAGACAATACATTACTATTATTAACAGTTAAAATAAATACCAGGATATTAGATCTCCAACTGTATACAAAACTTATACACTGTGCCTGTTTTATTCCAAGCTTATCCTCTGAAACTGTGTCTGTATTTGAATTGGAAGCAAAAAGCTTTTATCTAAAAAAGCATTTGCAATTTTTTACCTTGCTTCAGAAAAAATTCCCTTCCTAGTCTGTCAGATTAGGAAACATGACTTTGCTGGGGGAAGGAGCCCAAAATCATCCCTATGAATCCCTTTCTGCACAGAATAACCTAGTGTCATCTTCAGATGCAGCAGTAAGTGATGCAACATTTAAAAATCTGAATATAACTAGCAATTTCAGCAATAATTGATACTCTTAGACAAGCACAGTTGGGGCTTGTGAGTGGACTCTAGAAAAAGGCTTTATTCTGGGCATGAGGGCACTGAAGGGCTGGTCTGATCCAGCTGTTTGCCATACATTTATACCTGGAGACTTTGAGCAGTTCAGGTGCCATAGAACCACAGAATGGTTTGAATTCAAAGGGACCTTAAAGATCATTCAATTCCAACCCCCTGCCAGGGGCAGGAACACACTAGACCAGGTTGCACAGAGCCCCATCCAACCCGGCCTTGAACACTTCCAGGGATGGGACTCTACGCTCTCCTTCAAGTAACAATTAAAGAACAAAAAGAATGGATAGCCAACAGAGGCAATACCTGCCGAATGCCAGCAAGAAGAAGGTTATGGTGCCTTGAAAAACGAGCACATGGAGCATCACCTGTGAGCTCTGTGCAGAGGAGCTTCCCCAGGGACACAGCTCTTCTCCCCACAGGAGCGTGGGGGGCTGTGCACGGGTTCTTGAGACTTCTTCAGTAGGAGGATGGGTGGCAAAAATAGCGCGGCATGAAAGGCAAATTAAAGCAGTTAAGTATTTCTAGAAACCACAGAGCAGTTATGGTTCTGTAGCCCTAAACAAACCACAGAATGCCTGCCAGCCCTTACTGTCACTGCTCAGGAGCTTGGTGACATCCAAGTACTTAAAAATGCAGCACAAAACAACTCTCCATGTACCACAAAACAGAATTATTCTCCGCTTGCACACTATCAAGCTAGGACAACATTATTCCAGCTACCCACCAGCAGTGCCCCAGAAAACATAACACAGAATTTAAATTTCCAAAATGCAGCTCTGTGATGGTGCATTAGAGGAGCTCTGCTCCTGGAAGGGCTGATGAAGACCTGCAGCACTGCTCTGCTCATTTTAGGTTCACAAAAGGAGATCCAAGGTCTGCCCCAAGAACCTCAGCAAAACCAGCTTGGCTTCAGCATGCACAGCAAATCAGCCTCTCACAGAGAAAGCAGGGAATGGAAGAAGATGGCTGTTAAATTTCAGTATTTGATAAGATGCTTTGCAAAATACCCTAGGAGGCTGAAAAAAATCAGCCTGAGCCACTAGTGTGGATTACCTAGCAGAGACTGAGCACTGCTGGCTTTCCATCAGAACCTCCTGGCCAAGTTCTCCTCCAAACCCAAACTCCAGCATTATTTCAGATCCAGACTGTTTGTCTCTCTTCTGCTCATACTGGAAACTCTCTTCACTACCACTGGCAAGGACTCAGAAAGTTACATTTTTTGAAAATTCTATTCTAGAAGAAAGAGGTGATCCCAGACTACATCACCTGGTGTATCATGGACCACCCAAAGCCCTTCTGAGCCGGCACAGAGCTGCCCATGAATTATAGTCACCTCTAGAACACCCAACCTGAACATGCAATCAGACTTGCTGAAGGCAGAGGCAAAAACTTGTCCGAAAACAACAGCCCAGAGTAGTGAGCTCTATATATCTGATATTTCAGCATATATTCCACTGAATAGGATTTAATCTCATGATGGTTCAACCATGAGAAGCTTCACCCAAGTCCACATGCAATGCCCAGAAGCCTCAAGAGCTTTCCAGCAAGCCCTGGAACCAGCCTATGAGAGATTTCACACAACATAGCAGTAATCTCCAAAATTAATACAAACCAGGAATGTTGCAGCTTTCCAGTCAAACACTAATGCTGTCTTTTTTTTAAATTATGTTTTTTATTTTAGCTCTCTCATTGAAACTGGAATTTCATACTGCATATACATATTTATTAACTATTTTACTCAGGACTAAAAATATTCCAGAAAAGAAACCTCTTCTCAGGAGCACCCATAAACTTGAGGGGCGAAAGGCTGCACATCAAGAAAAACACACACCATTGTTATATTAGAGGGTTGGTTTCTGATCAGAAAGCCTTGTAGTCTTATTTTCTTTAATAAATTCAAAGCACAGCTGCAATAATTCTACCACACACCATGAAGAAATTGATTTAGCAATCTGAACATAAATTAAGCAATGTTTTTGATTCAGTAAACTTGTTCCTATGTAGATCAGAACAAAAATTAGTGAAGGTCAGTGACCCATACCCACGTATTTGCTTTGATGAGGTTCACAGGAATTTTCCATCAGAGCAGACTTCAAAATTATTTGACCTGTAAATTAACATTTTACTCATTTTTAAAGCAGTTTTAGTGACTTGCTAGGAGCATTTCTAGTTGTGATTCAATATTTTTTAAATGCATGTTAATGGATCTAGGTATTAATCAAACCATAAAATTTGGAACCTAACAAACTTCTCACGGATAAGGAGCTTCACATTGAACAAAGCCCTATAATGCTAGAAAATTATTTCAGGTGATTTATTATTAGAAAGGTATTATGGATAAATTATTTTCTGCAAGAGAAAGTAACTGCCGTTTGCTCTCAAAAGGTGATTATCTCAGATTCACTGACCTACCTGAAAGCTGTGCTCAGAGAATTCACATTAATTTTGCTGTTTGGTGCCACACTGCATGACCACTATTTCTTGTGGAAACAAGTTTTCTGTACAGATACAGAACTTTATAACTTACATTTCTTGACCCTACTTTAACTGCATTCTTTGTACACTCGTAATTTTAATATTCACACTTGTTAAATCCTGCGCAAACCTGAGCAAATACATTTTTAGCTGAGATCCTTCCACCTCAAGCAAGATCAAGTAATTGGTACAATAACATTATGGTCTTTAGAGAAAGATCAAATGAATTAGTGTCTTTCAAGTAATATAATAATTCTATGATTTATGTTAAAGTAAATTGAGTAATGAATTTAATTCCTCAGAGCAACTTTCTTAAAAATAATCAAAACTAATGTGCACTAGTAAAGAATGAGACTTTTTTAACTGCACAAGCATGCAAAATATTTAATAATTTTTAATAAAAAAAGCAAAATTTATCAGAGATTCTGCAAGAACAGGTTTAGCAAAGTGCCAGTGTACTACCTGAGCCTACACAGCAGCAAAATAACAGTGGAGGTGTGGAAGGGAGCTGTTCTTCACTTTTACAGAACAGAGGTTGGATACTTCAAGGACAAAATACACCTGAAACAGACCTCACAGCTGTAGAACACCCAATACCATTGAAATGACTTTTGAGCCCTGCTAAGCAGCAAAAAGCACTTTTTTAATTGCCTTAAACTGTAATGCAGATAACTGGGTATTTGTAGACAGAATGTGACTGAGAGAAATGGGATCCTCCAACTACAACCAAATCCTGAGGCTTAAACAGATCCAATTGCAACATGAATCCATCAAGGGCTTATCATTAGCCTGGCACTGACTGATGTGTCTGCCAGCACATAAGTGTTCAAGGCAATGGCAGCTAAAAAATAGCCAAGTGTCCTTTTCCTGTCCTGCACCATCTCTCACTTTCAGACATCTGAGCAATCGTTTAGGGAAATACATACAGGAACTAATTAAATAGCTAAAATTGTTTCAGCATTCATTCATCATTTACAGCTCAACAAAGTCACAGTTCTAGATTTTTGTGGCTTTATTCACACGTCTCAGCCTCAGACTTGTGAAAATCAGAGAGTACATCTGTGCCACAAGCAGTGCTGAGCTCTGGCTCAGAAATCCAGCGTCCTGCTGGGACAGCTGCTCCAACACTGCTGGGAGAGGGGCTGCTCCATCCACACCGCTGGGACAGCAGCCAACACTGTCACCTTCAGCACTGGCAACAGGCTCAGCTGCTTGTGCACTCCCTGAGCCCAGGAATGAGCACTAACCCGGCACTGCTGTCCTGCCCCAGCCCCAGCAGGATGGGCACTGGGGTGGAAGGAGATCACCACTCACTGCAGTCACTGTTGCCTGCTCCCTTTTCTACTCCTCTGTGCTTCAGAAAGGTATCACATTTGTAAGTCTGGAGGGAAACACTTTGGGCAGTAATTTTGCTGATTCTCTCAGAACCACCTATGGCTCAGCTTTCCTTCAAAAGAGCTTTTTTTAGGTTTCACCTGAATGTTTACTGACCCAAGTGAAGGGCCAGGACAGTTTGCTTGTTAAATTTAGCTTCACTGGTGTCAGCAGCCCCAGGACAGCACACTGTGAAGTCTTTGGGGCAAAGTCAGCATCTCCTCAACAGCCAGATGCACAATTTCACTTCCAGATGATGTCAATATACCAAATAAGCGTAAGAGTTTCTGCTTCACTGCTTTTCACTGACCTCCTTGGGAGGTGCTTAATACAAATATACATGGATAAGCCCACACTTGTCTTCCCTTTGCAATGTGGAGAGCCTGCCCAGAGCCCAAGAACAGAAACCAAGAGCTGTGGCTGCAGCAGCAGCAGGTGTACAGTACCTCTTGGTGCAACCTCCCCACATCCGAATACAGGCTCCTGCTCTGGTCCACATCCATCCATCCCCTTGTGACCAGTGGGAAAACCCCCAGCAGTACAAGAGAGCACCAAAAGCTCCTTGATGTCATCATTTCAAGTCTGTTAAAAAAAAAAAAAAAGAGAACAGTTATAGAACATGCATCTTACAACAAAACCCAGCTCAGGTTTGGTAGCACAGAGGCTTCAGCTGACAGTGTCCATCCACACAGTGCCTACAGAGCTCTGCAGTCTCCAGTGTACTGGCAATGAATTCCCATATTGAAGTAGTTTTACCCCAAAACTCTCTTCCTTGGGATGTGCTGTTCCCAGCCTGCTGGCACACAGCACCTGCAGAACCAGAGACCTGGAATTTCTCAACTACTGTGGCCAAAATCAAACCACATCAGAACATGATCTTGTGGTACTGCAGAAGCCAAAGGGTGAATTTTATCCCTTCTGCAGAGCCCCCAGCAGCACAGGGTCACTCACAGTCAGGGACTCACACCTGCATCCTCAGCAGATTTTCAGGAAAATGCCAGACACACGCCTTTGCTTCTCTGACCGCTGGAGGCTCCCAGCAATGTGACAGAAAATAACATCATTATTCCCCTCTGACTCAGAGGGGGACATTGCCTTGAGCAGATACAGCCACTGGCAACCCCCTTGGCTACGATCAGGTGTGGAGGGTGAGCCAGGGCTGACAGCTGACACCAGCACACAGGGACAGTCATGCATCCTCCCGATGAGGACACCTGCCCAGACGGTCACCAAACACACCTAAACCTGAAACACACAAAACAAATCCTGTGCTGAAGAGGGCTGGTGTGTTTCTCCAACCATGACAGAGGTGAGTCCTACCTGGGTCTGATTCCTGCACTCAAATTCCTCTGCCCCAAGCAGAGACATTTCCAATCCCTCCCACACTCACTCCACTCAAGAGCAGCACCATTTCCCTGGCAAAAGCCCACCACAGCCCCACATCTCCTCATCTGTAGGGGACTGGAGAGGTTCCCACTAAATCTGCATTCACTTTGAGCAGTGGTTCTGGTCTTGTGTGGTTTTTTAATTAATTTGGAAAGAACACCAATGCAGTTACCCAAAGTGGTGTCAGAAGGAACTCCTGTGTTCCACACACCACAACCCTGCACTGGTGCCCTGGAGGCTCAAACAGGAGCTGTGCTTCCTCCATAACAATAACAAAAGATTGTGTAGTTACTTTCTACAATTAAAAAACCAAAGGAATATTCAGGCCTGGAACCATTTCTGAGATGGCTGAGGAAGGCTAAAATGGACCCATTAATGAGGCATAATGACCCTTAATGAAGTGATGGCATTTCTAGAGGATGAGGGACAGGCTGCTGCCTGGCTTGAGCCATACACATCAACAAGGAGGGTTACCTGCTAATGGCAAAATTCAGCCAAGCTGAATTAACTCACCATGACATACTTTGTCTTGACAAGTCTCATTTTACAGTGTTTTCATGCCATGTATTTGCCACAGGTTATATCCAAGCCTTGGTGCATCACTCCTAATTTACACCAGCAGTGACAATCTTAGGTATTTTGTTTGCTCAAAGACACCCCATCACTAGATTGAGCACAGTATACAGCACCCACAGAGCTCAGGCAATGCCTTTTCTTGACACTAATGTAAACACACTGAATGAAGAGCATTCAGGACAAAATCAAAATTTATTAGTCTTTCTAAATTCCAATTATGAACCTCAGATGTAATGTTACTGGGGCTACAAATAAATATTTAATAAACCAAAGTCACTACATCAATAAAAGACAAGTACATGTTACTTTATGAATTGCTCTTGCACAGCAACATTGTTTCTCACAGCGTTTGGGTTGTTTTTTTTTTTCCCTTTAATAGAGGTATTTTGTGTGCTCAGTTGATTCCATCACAACAAATAACAGCAGTTCTAGAGACCTCTGAATCATATCCTGCTTGAAATTACAATCCTGGAGCAAAACAGGGAAATCACTAGTTTAATGTATATTTAGTAAACAACTGACAGAAAGCACGAAGGTATTTGGATTAGGATCTGTAACACTGACGAAACTGAAAGGGCAGACTACCTGATAGAAACTCTGGTTGCTTTATAAACAGAATTTCTAGAACATCTTTAGTCAGTTTAGAAATTGCTTATTTTTATTGCATGCTGACAGCACACTAATTGCTCTCAGTCACAGTAAGAGGAGGACACATTAATACACATTATATATCTTAATAGCCTCAATCAAGCAACAAATATGCACCATAAATATCAACTGAGAGCTTACTCTGGAGTCACACAGCATTTTCTTGCCACCTGGCATCCTAAACCAGAGCTCAGCACCCTGAGCCTTACCCTGAGCTAAAGGGAAGGCTCCTTGCAGAGCCTGGTCTGCAGCTACACCATACAATACAGCTACCAGACTGCAGGTTCAAAGTGCCCTGAAGTCAACAAAAAAACTCAAATCGATTGAATAGATCCAGACCACCACTGTAAGCTCAGGCAAGTTTTACTATCCATTTCCTTTCCTTGCTTGAGGGAGGGACAGATTTGCTGGATTTGAGCTTTTATGGAGATCACTGTCCAGAGAAATCAAAGCTTGCATATGGAAATATCTGCATAAAACAAGCAGTTATACTCAAAAGAAAGAATAAATATTGGCCCTTGTGATAAAGAATACATTATGCAAAGCCAAAAAGTTTACCTGAAGGTTGTGGTTTCCTCCTCTGAGCTGGAGCAGCCTTCCAGCTTTCCTTGCAGCTGGCACTGCTCTAGCAGGAATGACAGCACAAGTACAGCAGCACCAGGCTGTGCACTGTCATCTGAAGCAGCTCAGACACGATGGCAACAGCAAAACACCCATCCCAAGGCCGGGGGGTCTGGGCAGGTACCAACACACAGGGAGAGCCTCGAATTTAAAGCAAATGGCTGCAATGTCTCCAGTGGAAGAACAGCAAGCAGATGCCAGCCAAAGACAAGCACAGGTTTTAGGGTACAGGCTTGGGAGCTACTCAAGCAAAAAGGGTCACCTTGAAAAACAACAGGGACTAAGCATCTTGGCCTTTTGAGTGGAGAACAGCACAAACTGTTTAAAGCATTTCTGTGACAGGCAACAACCAGATCCTGCAGTGATCCCACAACTTTCTCCTCCGCAACACAAAAGCATTATGAATTCAATTACGGTGACCACAATGAGATTAAAAAATTTGCCAAAAGCAGTTATTGGTTTTGTTTCAGGGCTACTTAAACTGCAGCTTATTTGAGAAATTACTGGTTTGCAATAGATTTCAATAATTTCCAACAAGCTTCACATCAGAAAGAGGCTGAACTTAATTACCTGAAGTTCTGACTGTTGCTATAGCAAAAAGAAAGCATTTGGACATAACTATTACCTCTATTCAAACTGACGCTATTAAAACCAGATAAGAATCTGGTCCTCAGTTCCTGCCATCAACCTTTCCAATTGCTCCAGCCTTATCTAAACAGCGTTTCCATTGCTGGCAAAATAATTTCGACATCCATAATTTCTTGTTAAGTGCTACAGAACTAGGCTACAAAATTAAGCAAAAAAGCCAATGGTTTTGGCAAGACATAATGAAATTGAATAATTATTCGGTCAGCTGTCCACAGTTAAATACTTAAAGTTTGGGTACATTAAGAACTCATTGGAATCAGCTTTGACGTTTAAGTACAAATCAGACTTTTCATTTGGGCAAAAGCTACTTTAAAATATTTCATTTGATTAAGTTTCACTTATTATATTTGATTAGATTTCATTTCATTGAAATTCTCCAAGACACTTCAATACTCCGGAATAAATCTGGGGAGCATCATTCCAACAAGGATGCAGGACTACCAAGAAACTCCTGAACCTCGCAGAGATTTCGCCTTAGTTTTCAAAGCTGGCCCCACGACCCGTCTCAAAACAGCTTTTCTCCGAGGTGACGGCCGGAGAAGTCCCAGGGCATCCCTTCCTGGGCAGCGGGCGGGCAGCACGGCCGGTACCGGGTACCGCTCGCCGCGCTCGGGCCGGCCAGCCCGGCCGCCACCGCCGGCCCCCGGCGCCACCCAGCGGCCACGCCGGGAATGCCGGCCCCACGCGCGACCGCCCGGACCCGCGCCCACCGACGGGCCCCGCCGGGCGAGCACTGCGGCACCGCGGCCCAGGGGCGGCACCGCGCCCGCCTCATCCCACCCCGCGGGCGGCACGTCCACGGTGCCACACGCGAGGTACGGGAGAGGAGGTCCCCGCTCGCAGCCCGTCGCGCCCCGCTCCGGCGCCTCCCGGCCCCGCGGCGGGCACACACCTGTTACCGCGGCCGGCCCGCGGCGTGAGCGCTCCGCGGGGCGCGGCGGCACCGAGAGAGCGCCCGGCGCGCCCGCGGAGCGGACAGCGCAGGGAAGCCGCGCGGTTCCGCGGGCGGCGATGGGGACGCAGCGGGACGCAGCGGAACCCGCGGGCGCTCCGGCCGCACTCACCTGGGGAGGAGCCGGGGCCGCTCGGGCCGGGCCGGGGCGGAGCGCGGCGGGGCCGGTGCGGGCAGTGCGCGGCGCGGGCCGGGCCGGCCCTATTTCTGCTCTCCGGGCCGGAGCCGCCTGACGTCAGCGCCGCATTTGCATATTCCGCCCAATCCCGGCACCTGTGCGGGCGGCGGGACCGCCCCGGGGTGGGGGACGGACACCGGCTGCGAGCATCCCGGCGCCGGGCCGGGAGCGCGGGGCCGTCGGGGGTCGGGAGCACCGGGGATGCTCGTGGGGCCGGTGGTACCTCGGGGTGCGGCTGCTGAGCCGCCCCCGGCAGCTCCGTGCTGGGAGAGCTGCTGCCGGGCGATGCGCTGCCCGGAGCGGGACACGGGACCGCTGGCCCCTCGCCGTGTGGCCGTCAAACGGGGGAGACGTCGCGGGACACCGGATTGTGTGCGGTGGGACGCCGTGACTTGCCACAGCAGTCACTGCACGGCACTGGGCTGTTCTGGAGGTGTGCCTTCTATTCCCACATAACTATGTTTACAAAGAGAGGCAAACATTAAAATTCATTCACTCTCCTCTTCTTAGTCTCGTTTCCAAAAAAAAAAAAAAAAAAAAATCAATCAAGATAATAATTTCTTGTC